GTCACCCAATGCAACGACCAAATCGGTGGGTCTAGACCGCTTGGCCACTTCACAAATGAGGGCAGCGTGTTTCCCGTAAATGGAGATATCAGAATTTGGGGGAATATAGGAGCAGGTTATGAATAGATGTTTATCAGGCATATTCGCACGAATAGCGATAAATTCAACGTCAGGAGAAGTGGGAAATTCAATTAAATTGGACGGGACTGACGCAGATATGGCAATTAATACACCACCACCAATGCGATTTACTCGATCATTTCTAAACACTTGGAAAGAATTATGAAAAAGTTCCGACGAATGTGGAACTTTTTTTTTTTTGTTTGATTCGGTTGTTTTATTTGAGCAATGTAGATTTTGTTTTAAAAGTGCTCAGAAGAACAATTAAATAGGGTCTGATATATGTGCGAGGTAGAGAAAATAAACCAACATAGCAAGTGCATTTGTTTTCGCAACACCGTTAAAATTTCCGTAAAGAGCCGTACTTAAAGAATTTCCGTAATAGGGATATGTTGCAGACTGAAGGATGATTGACTGCCCTATTGCAGGAAACAGCCCATCATCAACCTGCTGAAGGAAAATAGGAAATATTCCTCAGACCGAAGGATACTGGATACAGCCAATCATGAACGTTCTGAACGAATAACATCGATTGCTTATCTTTCTGCTTAACTGTCGCTCAATACTAAAAGAAGAGTGGTCGCGCGCTGCTTTTATAGATGCCTATATTCACCACACTTGCTATTCTGCTAATACAGATCTGAGAAAGAACAGGTGAACGTCTGACTTAAAAAGTTGTGTATTAGTAAGCAGAACGGTGAGTGTGTCTCTCCATATTTGTATTGTGCAATTGTCAAGGAAATTTAGGAAAATTTTCCACGACGTCAGCAGCACAAACCTTAATACTTAAACCGTTCCATGTGTGCATGTATATGTGCCCACAAGTCTGGTTTATTGTGAATTATGAGTGTGAGAGCATATGCATATTAGAATATTAGATATTGTTATTATTATTATTAATTTCGCCAGAGAAATAAATTCTAAAACTAAACCTCTTAAGAGAGCACTAGCATCTAAGGCCATCGGCTTTTATTGAAAACTCTAACACACTGGAGATTCGAACCCACGACCATTGACTTTCTAGTCGAGATTCTTCGCCTTCGGCTACTCAGGCGGATAGAATATCAGATAATATATATGGCTTATATAGCAAAGAACAAATAGTTCAAAAAATATATAAGTAAAGTTATAAGTACATGTAACTGTAGGTGATAACACAAGCATTTATAAGATATGTGTAAACATGCATGTATCTACAAGCGTAAGTATGTAAAGAAATTCAAAAATGTGTAAAGGTATAAAAATAAGTATTTGTAAGTGTACCATATGGATGTGTAAGTGTAAGTTTATTTGTATATGGATGTATAAATGTAAGTATATATATATGTATACATATATATCGATGTATAAGTGTAAGTTTATATAGTAATATAATAATAATTTGGCACTAGACTCCTTCCATCTTGCTCTTCTACTGCATTACATGACGCAACTAATACGTATGCGGTTAGGTAGAAAGGCATCGGTCTTGGTGTTTTAATTCTGGTTTCACGGGAAAGCATTTAGTGTAGTCGTTGGCATCGATTGTACATATACATCTGGGAAACATATATATATACTGTGAGGCCCCAAAGTCGTCCCTCGTTTCGGCTTCACGGATTTTTCATCTCTGGTGACGGGTGGTTAAGATTGGATAGGAATAGGATAAGAATAGATTAAGATAGGATAAGCATAGAATAAGAATAGATTAAGATAGGATAGGAATAGAATAAGAATAGAATAAGATAAGATAGGAATGGCAAAAGAATAGAATAGGGTAGAATAGGCTAATTTCAGTTTTAGCTAAGTGAGTGGTTTTTGGGAGTCGAGAGTAGACTCTCGAGTAGAAAAGTCGAGTATAGACTGGCAGTTTTTAATTAGCTTAATTATAAAATAAAGTGAGGAAATAACTATAGAATAAAGTGGATAACTGAAGGGTCCCTGTACAAGCAGTTGGTAAGGTCATAGCGAGACTAGCATTCACACACCGAACGGTTACCAAACCATACGATTCGGTACCTGGGTTAGCGTTGTACAGAATCATACCGAGTAGCAGTAAACGATAGGCATACAAGCAAACACTAGCAATAAGATCATGTGAGTTGGTACGTACGGTAGTGTTAATGCCAAGATATATATAAGAGAAGCATATTTAGACATGTCAGAGCTGAGCAAACATGTTCGATCAAATCTAAGTTAGTATACAGACGTGTAATAATATCGTCACAATGCATGTATAAGCGAGTATGTAACGGGACAGCGATGGTGATCGCAACTATAAAAGAGCGTGTCGCACCACGCTCAGTCTTTCAGTTGTGTGGTAGAAACCAAGGGTAAGTGATCCCGGACATAACTACTTTTTTACCTTTACTTTAGGGTTTTTGTTATCTCTACGGATAGGGGATGGTCGGAGTGGCTTGGCCGTCATCCCTGAACGACTCATAGGACAGCTAACGTAACGGGTAGAGGATGGTCGGTGTGGCTTCTCGGTCATCGCTGAATGTCTGAAAGATACTCTCTCTTGCGACGTGAAACAATTAGGGACGGACAAATGGACCTGTAGGCTGAGGCTGGCTTCTACAACACCTGCGACGTATTCTTTCCTTTTACAGAACCTCGCAATACGGAAACGTTGAAAATTAAATATAATAATAATCGTTCAAATAAGAAATAAATAAACATTAAGGTCGGATTACCACGCTGGTTTTTTCTCTTACCCCTCTTAAAATCGCTGATCATTGTAATCTTCTTTTAAATAAATAAATAGAAATATAAGAACAAAACAGAAGGTCCAAGATATTTTTATATTACAAATTTTCTTGGAAAGAGCCCTGGATTGGCTAAGTACACGCTTCTCAAGAAAGCAAGTTACAATGTCTATTGGCAAACTTTTTTCCTTTTTTTTTATTTTTTTTTATATATCTTTTTTTTTTTTGCGTTTCGCATTTTAATTCTGGTTGCAAGAAACAGCTCTCCGTGTAGTCATTGATGCCGGTTATATACGTAAAGTGACTGACAATGTTTGTTTTGTTTTTTTATTTTTTTCTTCTTTGTTTACTTATATTTTGGATTATATGTGTGTATGGGGATTCTCTTCGGTGGGTTTCTTCTATAAATTACTGCCTAGTGCCAGGACTCTCTACAAACTGTTAAAACTGTCGGTTGACAAACTGCCTACCGCTGTCCGTAATAAGTACTTTGGGTGCCACAAATCTGGATATAATCCCCTCTCTGAATGCCGTCATCAGTGCCGAGGTAGGAATTTCGGTTTATTTGGTGAATCGGTCTATCATCACCAAGACTACAGTGTGTTCCGCGTTGGATTTCGGTAGCCGGCCAACAAAATCTGCGCTGACCGTACTCCAGCACACTTGTAGCAGTTGAATCAGCATCTAGCCTGCATGCTTCTGTTGCCTGACTTTGTACATATAACAAGTGTTTTACTGAAAATTTGAGTCTTACCTTTCTATTAATATTTCGTGCTAACAGCTTACAGTGAGCCTGACAATGGTCACGTTATAATTTGGTATGCATTGGGACAATGGAGTCGGAAAATTGGTATTTACGGGCAGCATTGTAAGCAAAGAGGATGTTTTAAGGATGTGAAAGAAAAATTTGAAAGAAAGAGCGGATAAACTAGGTTTTTTGGAAACATTCAAATTCTTCGAAGATAACGCACACAAGGGTAAATCCCGCTTAATTCAAGATTTGCTGTTGTATAACTGTCGCAAAGTGCTTCAACCTCTTCCACAGGTCACCAGGTATAAACCCTTTTGAAAATAAGTGGGATGAATTGGACCGCCATACGTGAAAACACTCAATCCCTTGCGCCCAAGACCTGAAAAACATATTACAAGAAGAAGAAAGTTGTTTCATACACAGAAAAAATGACATAAAATGTAGCAAAACTTTTAAATGACGTTATTAAGCATAAAGAATATCCGTCAAAATATTAATTTTTAATAATAGACAATTTCTTTTTTTCTTATCCTTCCTTATATGAAAAAACCCAATATTAATTTATTTATTTATTTATTTAACTAGGGGAAAAGCTCAACTACTACATTTTAGCTGTTTCCGCTTTTTTAAGTTGAAATAAGAATGTTACTTTTCCAACACAATGGGAAAACACCTAGTTTCAAGGACAAATTAAAAACTTTTGAAATTACACCACTTAGTTCAAGAGTAAGAATATGCCATGGAATCCCATCAGGTTCGGTCGCACAACTATATTTTAGAGAGCTTAGCCCCTTTAATATATCATTTGCGGAAATGACACACTTGGAAAGCAGGAGCGAGTTAACTATCGGATACGCGCAGTGTAAACTTGGATCAAATTTATTACTTAAATTTTATCCTTAAACAGTCGTTACGTTTCGAAAGTGTATTATTGTCAATTTATTATCGGTTGCCAGGCTTATGCATGTTTGCGATGGCTTAGGGGTTCATTTGCACTTTGGTCCTGTACCGGTTGTAAGTGTGCTCCTATGCTGATAGTGTACATGCTTTTGTTTTCTTTTTTTTTTCTTATTTGTTTTATTATGCTTATACTCAATTTTATTGTTAATTAATATAAGTTTTTCATTAAGAGCCAATTGAACTCGACTGTTATTTGTTTAGTTGAGTTTCTAGTATAAGTGGAATAAAATAAATAAATAAAATAAATAAATAGCTGCGACATAAATAATCAGACAACGACATACAGTTGTCTTCGGAACATTGGCAAAGCACAGGTCTAATAATCTGCCATTACAATTCCGTGTACGGTTATATTGCAATAGATTCAATTATAGTTCATTAAGAAACAGTTTAGCTCTATCAGATGTGGTACTAGGAACCATACAACCGAAATCTTCGCAATAACTCTTGATTACTTGTGGCAGATTGAAGTCCCCCAACGCAATGATTATATCCGCAGATTTGGACTTGTTGACAAGCCCTCTGATGAGGACAGCACGTTTCACATAGACTGAAATATATGCATTTGGGGGAATGTAGGAACAAGTTACGTAAAACTGTTCATTTGCTGGTATCAATCGAATGGCGATAAATTCAATGACAGAAGGAGTAGGAGAATCGCTTAAGTGGCACGGGACTGAAGCTTACACAGCAGTTAGTACTCCACCCCCTATGCGATCTAATCTATCTTTTCTGAACACCTGCAACAAGTTATGAAAAAGTTCAGATGAAAGTAAGTCAGGCTTTAACCATGCTTCAGTAAAGATCAAACAGTAGATACCAGTGAAATCAGCGAATTTATGAATATTGCTCATATGGAACTAAAAGCTTAAACGAAGAAATTGCTCTGGCTTACGAAGGGGGTAATTTAAATATGGTATTCCTCAAATCTACAGATCGGGTTTTTAAAACAAGATCAGTTTTTACATTATCCACTGGCGTGTTAGGCAACAGCCTTGACAAAAATTGCTTACATAGGAAGTACTGCCTTCAAACAAACGTCATCAAAAACACAAGAATTAATAATTGGCGAGCATGTGCGTACTAATCCCGCAGGGTGAACTGCCAATTCGCCAGAGCTGAAAGGGGGGATTTAGATTTATTTACATTATTTGTCTTATATTCCAGTATTGCGGTCAGCGTGATCTGATTGCCACTATTGGATGGAGACGTCCTTGCCACAGCGGCATAACTTAAGCTAGAAGGTTTTCCCAGCTAATGGATAGCTTTGCTATTGTCGGTTGCTTTCAAGGAATCAAAAACATTAACATCTTTTTTGAATGCGACATTGATTGCCTGAGTAATTTCCAGGTACAATACCATCATTACTAATAGATATAGGACATGCAGTTGTGAATTCACTCCTTGAGCTCTCCGTCGCCACGGTTGCTGCTAGAGAATTTTGCAACTGATCGGAATCCGAACCCGTCTTGTTTTGTCAAGGATTATATAAACATTCTATCCATTGCATGTTTAATGTTATTGAACAGACATTGTTATCTTCACTGACTTATTATTCAGCAGTCGGTAAATCTGTTTATTTGCCGAAAACACAGATATTACTGATGTTTACTGTTGTTTGTACATTAATGATTGCATTCACGCTTGATACAACACCTCATCTCTGCAAACAGCAGCTGGATAATTTTTGTGTTTACCGGTGTAAAAAAAAAAAGAAAAAGAATTTAAATATTTGAAAAAAGGAAAAGAGATTTAATAAAGTAATAAAATAACTACAGAAAACAATTTTAAAGGAAGAAAAGGAGGGAAGGAAGAGGAATCTCTCGTACGAGAAAAATTAAGAAGCAATACATATATTTAATTTTTTGTTTTTTCGTTGTGATTTTTTCTTTTTTATGTTCCCCGTGATAACAATCAAAACAACATCAGCCCGTCTCCCTATGGAGACTGGGTCTGATCTTATAACTACTGATAGAGACTGTTTTGAAGATTTTTACATAAACGTCACTGGGCACACCAAGAAATCGACAAATGGTGAGAATAATATTCTTTTATCTGCTAACGGAGAAGCTAACGCAAACGTTTTAATTGTGCCTAGTAAACAGACTATCGACAAGCCCTCTGATTTGGGTGCCACAGCCGCCACAAATCTCGAAATCAATTTGTACGATTGCCTTTCGAACTGCAATTTTGTCGTTTTTGTCGAAACGTGCGCAAACGCAGAAGGAAATCGCGTCAATATTAACTCCAATCTCTATTTTTATCATTACTTGAAGGATTGCTTAAAAGAATTAAAAGTTGTCAGCAGGGGCAGAGCCAAACTGCTTTTCAGGTCTGCTGCCAATGCCAACAATTTTGTTACGAATAATGAATTTACTAAAAAGAATTTAAAGGCGTACATACCGAGGTCTTTCACTGAGGGATTTGGAGTCGTTCGAAACATCCAATGCACATATAGTCTCGATGATATAATTAAAAAACGCCATGTCCCATATTCCGATTAAGTCCGCTGTCCGTTTTTAAAGAAGAAATCCCAACAACAAAGATGAGGGGATTCCCACAACCAGTATCAAAATTGGCTTCAAAGGGACAGTCCTTCTTAAATCAATAAAATTTAATTATTGTTATAAGTCGGCTGAGTACTTGTACCCACTTTAAAGCAGTGCTTTAAGTGCGGTAGATACGATCACCTGTCAAAATTCTGCAAAGCTAAAGAGAGCAGGTGCCTTAACTGTGGGAAGTCTCCGAAGTGTGTGAACTGCGAGACGATGAAATGCTTGTCCTGTGGTTTAGGTGAGCACAACACTCTCAATAAGTGTTGCCTTAACAGGGAACTTGAATTAAATATAAACAGGATCATGGCAATTAAAAATCTTTCGTATAAAGAGGTAAAAGAGAATTTTTCCGCAAATTATTTCGAATGTCTCGATGGCATCACTTATGACGACAATTTCCCTCCACTGGGGAACACGTCTGCAATTTCGACCAAGGATGATAATCAAAACGCCAACAAAATCTTAACCAAAAATAAATATAATGCTGTCGTCAAAAGGAAATCGCTTCCTTCCAAATCTCCTCTCAGTTCACCCACCAAGCCTTCTCCCAATAAACCCCCCAAGTCGTCTTGAACAAGTCTTCTTGGACCGAAAATTTCAAACAACTATTTGCGGTCCTCAGAACTTGGAAGATTAATTCTCGCGATTCAAGAAAGTATCCGTCCGATGATCCCTCATAATCTTATTAAAAAATTTGAAAACAAAATGTCTGTCTGTGCCATTTCTTGGCCCGTTCAAGCACCCAGTACTACGAGGAAATCCGCTGGAGTTCTTTCTCAAGTTTTAACATGATGTCCTTTTTACAATATAATATTCAAAGTGTCCGACGCAACCTATCTTTTCTGGATTTTTACATAAACTCAAAAAAGATTGATTTCTCATCTTAAGTGAAGTTTTTCGGACAGACAAAAATTGTTTCGAAGTTAAAGTTTCGAATTATGCTTCAGCCACCAAATGCCGAAATGATGGCTATGGTGGTGTTAGTATATTAGTTAAGAAAGGTGTCAATTTCAGACGTATTCCCTATAACTCTGCTGTTGACATTATCATCCTCAAAACCATGAACCTGAAACCGAATCTTTTCATAGCATCATACTACTTTTCACCCAGTCTCGTTGTGCAAACCTTTCGTGATGAGATTCAGAGATTATGCGACTTTCTTGACGGTAAACAAAGTATGATTCTAGCTGGAGATTTCAATGCAAGACATCGCCTCGTCTCGACCAACAAAGGCAAGATCCTTGTAAATGCCATCAATTCCAGCAGTTTCAGTGTCTTAAAAAATGCCAATACTACCTTTCACTCTAACCTGAGCGGTCGCACGGTGAGCAGTGTCTTGGATCTAACTTTCTTGAATTCAACTATTTTATCTTTCAACTGGAACGCGTCCAATATTTCCATTGGCAAAAAAGTTGTAACAGTTCCGTTAAGAAAATAGAAAATTTCATTTCACGCAAGTTCCTGTCTAAAGTTGATCTTCCTTCTGATTTATTATCAATTCAAAGTGCCTTTCAGTCTGTGATTAGGTCTGCTAAAACCAACTTTCCTGACATTGGGTCCTTCTTACCTAAACCTTGGTGGAACTTTTTCCTGTCAACACTTTTCCGCAAATACCAAGCTGCAAGAAAAAAAATGTGTAAATATGCCAATCCAGCCAACTACATTGAATATATGAAAACACTGAAAGAATGGAGGTCTGCAGTTAGTAAGGCGAAAAGGACCCGTAGAGCTATCGCGATTAAAGATTTATGTGGTAACGGCAACCCATCTTCTTTCTGGAGCTATATCAACGGTCATCGACATTCTAGTCGAAAATTGAGCGGTTGTACTGTATGGAATGACCATGATAATCAAAAAT